GTATTCGTTTTTTCATCCTTTAATGTGCCTGCGACCGTAAACTCAAATTGGAGTTTCTCCATTGTCACCAAAATTGTCGTTTTAGAAGAATAAAACTCCTATTATTAAATGAGGATAACCCACAAACTAAAATTTGTTTTTCTAAAAAACCAAAATTCAAATTGCTATTTATTATATAAATTATTTAATTACATCAATCACTATATCTAAATACCCTTACCTGATAACCAAAAAAACGACAATTAAAGTTTATTATTCCCACTTATTCTAAAAAGTTTATTTATTTATGTTTATAACGAATATTCTTTACTCCTTTTCACATCTGCTTTATTTTGTATTCTCTCCCTTTCCTTTGTTTATCAATCACCACTCATTTCTTTCTACCGATTTTATTAATCGATCCTTCCAACGAGAGCTGCTTGAAGTGCGACAAAACACATCAAAGGAATACATTTCCTTTACATCTCCACCTCCCCCGCGAGAAAAGTTGTAGCAATAGGGGAGCTATGCTACTTACTTTTCTTTATTCCTCATCTGTGCTTTCTCCTTTCATCTTTGAGATTGGAATCAATTTTGTACTATGGAATAAGCCTTCTTCCGATCTTTTTCTTCCAGTTTTAATTTTATATATCGAGTTTGATATTTTCTCTATTACAGTGAAAGGTCCCACTCTTATGTCCTCCAGTTTTTTCCTATTTAGTCTATTGCCATTTTCTATATAAACTCTATCCCCTATATTGAGTTCGGAGAGTTTTCTATTCTCATCAAACAATTTTTTATTATATTCATGCGACCTTATACTTCTTCTTAAGGCTTCCTCTCTATCTTTGATCCAATCTTCTTTATTTTTGTCTTCTCTTATTTCCTCTGGTAAGATACTCGTGTCTGTACTATCCATTAAATATTTTGGCGTAAAACTGGTAACTGTGTGTTCTGTTCTATTATATCTATCTACACATTCTCTCGCAATCGTTGTCCAAGCTTTCCTCTTTCTCCCCTTCTTATTAATTCTGCATCTTATTTTATTCACCAACGTTTGGTTGAGTCTTTCATTTAACTTATTCGAGAAAGGCGTGTCTACAGTTGTAAAAATTAATTTAATATCAGACTCCTCGAGGAACTCATTGAAATCTCTCGAATTTATTCCTGGATATTGGTCCGTTAGAATCATCTTAATTTTTCCCATATCTAACACGTTTCCTACTAGCTTAATGAAATCGTTAGTGCTCTGAGTTTTCGATGTTAATATAAATGCATATCTCGTGAAATTGTCGACTAGTAAGTGTAAATACTTTTTCGTGGATCTGGACCCTCCAAAACCGCCAATAGTATCAATTGACATAATCTCAAACGGCTTTGTCGTCGGACCCAGCTGTGATAATAGTCCWAATTWACTCTGGCCCCTTGACTTATTTCTTATACATATTTTACAGCTCCTACAGACTTCTTTAATATTCCTTGTTAAATTCTTCGCCGTGTTTTTTGAACTAATTTTCCTCTGCATTTGTTTAACGCCTATATGACACCATTCTTTATGTACTTCTCTTATAATTATTTTACTAAATTCC